GGCCTCGACCGCGTCCTCGACCTCTAGTGGCCCCAACTGGCAGTACTGGTGGTCGTCCGTCCTTACCGGTACCACGTGTCCTCACCATCTGTGAGAGAATAGAATAACAGAAGTTTAGTACTAGAATCAACAAATTCGCACGACAGGAATTTCAAGAATGTGAAGTTCTTCCTAAAGGTTCTGCAGCCTCCCGAGGATAAGTACATACGTCTCCATACTGATCCGCGAGACTCTACTAAACCGGCCCATGACCCGTGAGACCTATGTAACCTAGGTTCTGATACCAACTTGTCATGACCCCAAATATCCCGATCGTGATGGCGCTTATCACAGTACTAGGCAAGCCAAACCAACATTTACTACATCGAATTTTTTTATAAAAATCATTTTATAAAACCGATTAAGTCTCAAACTCTTCATATGTAATATATAAATCAATAGAAATGTGCGAAAACCAGTACAAAATATACTAACACAGCCCGAATCTGGTGTCATTAGTCATGAGCCTCTAAATACAACCAAACACTGTCTAAATAATACAATATGAGTCTGAAATACAAAATACTAAGATAGGAAGGAGGAAGGCAGGGCTGCGAACGCCGTGCAACTACCTTGCGATCTCCGGATACGACTCCGAGAGTGCTAGAATCTCTCATTCTAAAGCCCGGGCACCTAGATCTGCAAACAAGCTGCAGGGAGTAACGTGAGTACGCCAACTTAGTAAGTAACTAATGTAAATAAAGTCTGAGTGCAGTGACGAGCATTTAGAATCATATAAGAATTTTCAATAGAAATATCAAGTCAAATCAGCAGTTCAATAGCCAGTTATCTCATAAAACTCCAGTTTCAATTCAAAACCTTTGAAAAAATACATTTATTTAGCATTCTTCAATAGAGGCTCAGTATAAATGGCGAGTGAAAGCATCAAAATGTCCCAGACAAGCCTCTCGGGCAAGGTATCACTCATAAGTATAGCCTCTCGGGCAAGCCTCTCAGTCACTCGGGACTCAGCTCTCGCCAATCAGTACTCACACACAGCACTCCGGCTCAATAGATATCTTATAATAATAATAAAAATAATAACCGCTGCGGCGCACAGCTTGATCCATATTTTATAGTCGACTACGCTCGCTGGGGGTGTGTAGACTCCGGAGGCGCTCCTACAGCCCAAATGTCATATTACTGCAGCGCGCAACCTGACCCAATATATATCATTGCGGCATGCCGTCCGATCCATATAAATATCGCTACGGCGTGCATCCCGATCCATAAAATATACATAATATCGCTACGGCGTGCAGCCTAACCCATAACATATATATGTATATGTATATATATACACCATTAGGTCCTCAACCTCTTTCAGCCAATAACCTCACGGCCACTCAAGCATATATANAATCAAGAAAATTCAGTCCAAATAGTTTTCATATATTAAGAAGTAGGGTAATGAAACCGAATTTAAACAGTAAACAGATAAAACATGACTGAGGATATGCTTTCAAATCAAACAGAGTGAGGAAAGCAATAATAATACCCCTAAAGGTCTAAATAGGTCGGCGCAAGGCCCCAAACATGGCGTACAACCCAAAATATAGTATCAATCTCTGAAATACGGGATATCATATGATTTCAAATCAATGCGGCTTAATAGTCGCTACGGGATGGACCAAGTCACAATCCCTACCGGCGCACGCCCACACGCTCGTAACCTAGCATGTGTGTTATCTCATTTATCAAAACAATACGAAATACCTGGGTTTCATACCCTCGGGTCTAGATTTACAATGATTACTTACCTAAAATCGGATGAAATACTACTCCGTGATGCCCTTGCCTCTCGACTCGGCCTCAACTCACGTCGAATCTATCCAAAATCAAAATCATAACGTCAAAATATGCTAAGGGAACGAAGCTCATGCGAAAATAATCAAATTATATCAAAAATTCCGAAATTGGTCCACCGACCCCTGAGCCCATGTCTCGAAATTCGATAAAAGTTACATTAATAAAATCCTTATCCTTCCACGAGTCCATACATACCAAGAATATCAAAATCTGACCACAAACGTCCCCTCAAATTCCTAAATCAAGGTCTCCAATTTCAAGCCCTAATCCCCCAATTTTCTTCCTTAATTTCCACTAACACCGTGATTAAATAATGGAAAAATGGTCATAAACACAAGTAATGAAGCTTAAGTGGCTTACCCAACTAATAACCTTCGATTTCCCTTGAAGGACCACTGCCCTAGCTCACTTCCCGTCTTAAAAAATGGAGAACTTAGCAAAAATACATGAAGGAAACCTTATATACTTTCTGACACATGGATTTCGCATCTGCGGTCCTTTTTCGCTTTTGCGCTACCGCTTCTGCGGTTTTCACTTAAGTTCCTGGAACCGTACCTGCGCCTTACCTTCCGCACCTGCGGTCTCGCAGGTGCGTTAAACCTTCCGCACCTGCGTCTTCTGGTCTTCCAGCTCCTGGCCGCATCTGCGGCTACTCTTCCGCTTCTAGGATCTCGCACCTGCGGTCCCCAATCCGCAGGTGCGGTTATGACATGGGCAACAACTGAAGTTGCTCACTTCCAATTCCAAACTTTTTCGAAAATATTTCGAATTCATCCCGAGGCCCCCGGGATCTCAACCAATGATACGAACAATTCATATACCACTTTTCAAACTTATACCAATCTTCGAAACACTTAAACAACATCGAATCATCAAAACACCCTCGGATTCAAGCCTAATATTTCTAAAACTTCCAAATTCCGTTTTCGATCAAAAAATCTATCAAACCTCGTCCGAATGACCTGAAATTTTGCACACACGTTACAAATGACACAACAGACCTATTACAAATTTTGGAATTCCCATTCCGACCCTGATATCAAAATTTTCACTACCGACCAAAAAATGTCAAAATTCCAATTTCGCCAATTCAAGCCTAAATCTACCATGGACCTCCAAAATACATTCCAATCACGCTTCTAAGTCCCAAATCACCTCACGAAACTATCTGAATCATAAAAACCCTATTCCGAGATCATTTACTCACAAGTCAATTTTCGGTTGACTTTTCCAACTAAATGGCCAACTTAAGAGACTAAGTGTCTCATTCCTTTACAAAACCACTCCGAACCCGAACCAACCAACCTGACACCATATAATACAATTGAACAAGACATAAGAAGCAGAAATAGGGGAAACAGAGCGGTAACTTATAAACGACAGGCCGGGTCGTTACACAATGCTTTCCAAATTTTCTTTGCAGTAGAGTAAGTACTATCATAATAATCATAAAAATTATCAGATAGACAATTAAGAAGATAATACCGGCACTTGTATGAATCATCGTTATATTTTTCAATTTTTTCTTGAAGGGCGATTAGCTCATCATCATTCATGGAGGAGTTGTCTACTTTGCTTGGATTCTTCTCAGTTAAAACATAAGAAACATTGAGAAGACTCAAATAAAAAAGTACTTTACCCTTCCATCTTTTGAAATGAGTACCATTGAAACGGAATGGCTTGTTGAGATCTCCCACCTTGATATCCGCGGATTTTTCAACTATAGCCATTTGAATCTCCTTAATATCGTTGGTAAAAATACAATTACAGCTGAAAAATAAAAATAGAGAAAATAAAATAACTTCAGGCTAAGGCGCGGATATCTCGCTCTCTTTAATGAGATTCAAGCCCACTGCATCAAAATCTTCACTGGTCCAACAGTAATCCTCTTGACTTGTCTCCCCTATGATATAACATCCCGATCACGTCGTATGATTCGAACAAACTCTGGACAAATTGTTGAGTCCAAAGCTCCACCAAGATGAACACCTTCCTTCAACAAAAGTAAAAACTCTCTTCTTCTTTTTTCACAACTTTAACCTCATTTCATTGAAACACTCTCAATTATTTTTCACACCACGTTATGGACGAAAGACTCCTATTTATAGGTGTAGGAATTCTTCCTTGAATTAAATTGGAAGAAAGTGGGGTAATAAGTCATGAAATCATGGAGAACATCGGGTAATTAGTGGTAGAATATGTGAGAAGAGTTACAAAAGAGTTATGACCATTTTCTACATCATGGAGTAGTGGATTATGGGAGTTAAGACCATTCTCTACATTATGGAGTAGTGAGAGTTATGACATATTTTATTTTAATATTAACATGATAAAATACTAACAAAATATATATCTTCTATTATATTACAAAAAGAAAGTGATAGACAAAAATATTAAACAAAGTAATATGCTAATAAAAATTTCTATTAACAATGTAATTATATAAAATATTGGATAATCTAATAAAAAGATATATAACAAAATGTTATTCAATGACTATATAAGTCCCTATAATTTAGTAGAGATTTTATTCATTAAAATTAGATAATATTATTGACAATAACAGGATAAAATTAAAAAATAAAAATATAATCAAGATTAATAAAATAAATATATTTTTTCTTATATTACAACAAACAAACAAAAAAACGAGCAGACAAAAGTATTAATAAAGTAATATGCAAATAAAAATTTGTGTTCAATTGTATAAGACACAAGAAAATTTGTTCGTTTTACTTTTCACCAATCTGTTAATTATTGAGAAACTAAAAACACAACTTATTTTCTCAAAATAGAAATTAAAATGCAGTTCAGTACTCTCTCCGTTTTCTTTTATTTGGCATGTTTTGATTTTTCACGATCCTTAAGAAATAATAAATGAAGTGCATAATTTATCAGAATACTCATATTAATTAATGCATATTTTATTGGATTTAAAAAAATAATTTAAAATAAGTAATAAATATTATGGTTATAACAGATTTTTTTTTGTCTTCGTAACAAATAAAAGTAAAAATTTATTTTTAGTATATATGTGAGGGTGGGAACACTATAAAATCTTATAATGCCGTATATAGTAGCTGACGTGGACCGTAGTGCCTTTAATCTGCCCAAAAATACCCACAAGCTTGTCTTGATTCCGTAACCTGAACATGGCGGAAACCGGCGACAGCAAGTCACCGGCAGCTAATCCCAACCCTGAAACTACCTCTCCGCCACCGCCACCGCCACCTACACTTCAACAGCCGCAGACATCGTCACAGCCTCAGCTGCAACCACCGCCACAAACGCCGTCACAGCCACTGCCACCACCACAGCAACCTCAATCTGAACTTTTGCCCCCAAAGCGTCCCCAACAACTGGAATCCTCCCCAAACCCAACCACCGATTCCAAAGACGTGACTCCCGCTACCCTCTCTTCCCGCCTTACTGAGCCTGATTATATTTACATCCCCAGTCACTCCCGTAAGTCCCATCTACTCTTGAGCTACTTTTTANACATGAAAGTGAGGTTCGATTTCTTCCTGAATTCTTCGACGGAAGATCACCTTCTAAGAACCCTAGGACTTATAAATACTATAGGAATTCCATTATTCGTAGATTCAGAGACAATCCCACTAAAAAAATAACCTTTACTGAGGCTCGCAAGACCATTATTGGTGATGTGGGTTCCATTCGTAGGGTTTTCGATTTCCTGGAGACATGGGGCTTGATTAATTACACTGCTAACTCTTCCAAATCGCTGCTCAAGTGGGAAGAAAAAGAGTCTAAGTCTACTTCTTCTGCTTCCGCGGCTCCGCAAAATGCTGATGCTAATGGAACTACTCCCACTGATTTTACTGCCCCCAAGAAGAGACTTTGCAGTGCCTGCAAATCAGCTTGCAGCATTGCCTGTTTTGTTTCTGATAAGGTGATTTCAACAATCTTCCATTGTTGTGGGTTTGTCTTATCTTGTTTAGAAGGATTAATTTGTTATTTAACAACCTTTGGAATCAAGTTTGAATCTTTTAACTTCTCAGCTGGTCATGCTTAAATTTGCTCTCACTGCTCAGCTCGTAGCTTCCTACTTTTATAGCTGGTGGTTTCAATTTTTTTAAAAAGTTTTCCCTTTTTTGGGCTTACTCGTAATTGGTAGTTTACTTAAGTGTTGCTAGGACTTGTTGCTATGGTCTAAGAGTTAGATCAACTTTGTTTGTTTAAGTGCAGTATGATTTGACTCTTTGTGCAAGATGCTACGTTCGTGGTAATTTCAGAGTCGGCATGAATACTTCAGATTTTCGGCGCGTTGAAATTAGTGAAGAAGTTAAGACAGATTGGACCGACAAAGAGACTTTGCACCTTTTAGAAGCTCTTATGCATTATGGCGATGATTGGAAGAAGGTTGCCGAGCATGTTGGTGGCAGAAGTGCGAAAGAATGTGTGGCTCGATTTGTGAAGCTTCCTTTTGGTGAGCAGTTTATGGGCCCTCCGGTGTCTGCAGAAGTGGATAATGAACCTGGGTCTGAAACTATGCTTCTTCCATCCAAGAGAATGCGCCTCACACCCCTTGCTGATGCTAGCAACCCAATTATGGCTCAGGTACTCCGTCATATTTCTTATTACCGGAAAGTGTTTAGGACGTTAGATCAACATGTTCTATTTAGTACCCATGACCATGAATATCAAACAGAATCTGGACATCATTAACTGAAAACAAATTTGCTTTGGAATGAAAATGTTTCCTCACCAACGATACTCTGCAAGTTCAATATAGTTGCTGAACCAACTCACATCCTAAATGATCAAAGGAAACTTCACTTCTTATGACTTTGGATCGTTATGTAGTGCTGGAGAAGGGCTGCAGGGGTGCTTTGGTTAACTTCCATTTTATGTCTCGGATTAATTGTTATAGGGTCCTGCTTTCTTATGGACTAAGACGCTTTTGGGGATTTCTTGAGGGGGACAAGTTAATTAAGTAGCACTTCAGTGTTATTCAAGTCAGACCTCAAATGATTCCTTTAGTTTTTGAATCTTACTGCAGGCTGCTTTCCTTTCTGCTCTAGCGGGAAAAGAGGTTGCAGAATTAGCAGCACATGCCGCTGTTACGGCTTTGTCTGAGAACAGTGAGGGAATAATGAAAGGGAGTCTAGCATCTCTACCTGGTGTCTTGGAGAAGCAAGGTATCTATCATCACTTATTACTTGTTTTGGTTTTGATGAGAATCCTTGTTACTGTTGTGAGATACTCGAGGCATCTTAAAAAGAATTGTCTAAAGCTTATCTGATTACAACTCTTGATTTTTGCTGTAATGCTATGCTGCAAATCTGCTATGTTAACTAATGTTTCTTCTTTGTGCATTGTGGGCTGCGTTCTGCCAGGGATTTCTGACAGTATTTTTGCAGTATTTGAATGCCAAGGATCATGTTTACTACCATTGTTGCTTAGCTAAAATTCTTCTCAGTTATTCTGACAGGATTGGCTTTCTTTTAGAGGGAAACATTAGTGACCTTGATACACAATTAAGTTAGAGTGATTAAACTACTCATTGAGAACATTTGTGATAATGCGACTTAGATAAGAGGCTTTTGGTGTTCCAATATTGACAATATGATGTCCCAATCTCGTTTTTCTGAAAATACTCGGGACTACGGCAACTTTGGGAAATTTGCGGAACTTGCAAATTTAAAGACAATAATCTCCCTTGTAGTGGTATTGTTGGCAAATGAGGCAGATTTCCATGAAACTGCAATCGTGAAAACGAAGATGAAACATTCATTTTCCAATTTTGCAAACAATAGAACTTCTAGATGGCTCAATGAACTCCTGCTGTAAGTGACATGGTCTTATACTATGCAGAAACGGACGGAACTTCCAATGGGCATGCCAATGATACAGTTGAAAGAGCTCTTGTTGAAGCACGGTCTCAGCTTGAGGAGGAGGCACAGGACATAGAGAGAGCTGTCTCCGAGGTTGCTATCGAGGTATACTCATACATGAAATCAAGTGCTAAATATTCCAAGCTCCCTTTGATGAGGTCATCAGTGATGCTCAATATTTGATCTTTGTACATGTTTGCTTTCTTGCTTCCGTGCTTTACAGACCAGGGAGATTGAGGACAAAATTGCTCGTTTTGAGGAACATGATTTACAGATGGAAAAGGAGTGGCAACAGCTGATGCAGCTTAAGAATCTAATCTTCTTCGATCAACTTACTTTGCTGCTAAATAAAGTTGGTGCTACAAAAGCTGGAGAAGCCATTGGGGAGGAGGTGATGAATGTTAAGGCAGAATGACAAATCCCCTTGGTAGAATATGGTCTCTTAGTTGCTTACCAATATAGTGGGATCTAGTTATTTGTCAAATATTAGGTAGTGGCAAATTCAAAGGAATCAGAAAGCAGAATGAGTTTCTTTAGCTGCTAACCCCTTTTCTTTTCTGTATTTCCTGACTTACATGTTGTATTCCCCTCTCCCCAGTTCCCTGAGAAGCAGCAACTGTTGCCTATATATTAAAACAAAACATTACAAGGGATTTAAAGTCAGTTGGTCTTGCAGAACTTGTAATTTACATTTTTTATTGTGTTTTCTTTAATATTTAACAGTGGAAACCAATGTATGTAATGCTATACCCTAGAGGATATTGTCTTTGCACTTGTTAGTTTCCCGTCCAGTTCTGCTTCTTAACTCTTACCTTAATATATTGGTCTCATCCGTTACCTTATTAATAGGCCAAATACATCGGCAGACCATTAAACTTGTACTCACTTTTCACTCTGACACTTAATAAGGTCCTGGTTTGGGTTTATTCATGAGTTCTTCTTAATCTTTCCAACTTCTTGCGTTTTGTGACTCGGATTGGGGTACATGTCCTGAGTCGCGTCGCTCAATCAGTGGCTTTTATATTTCTGTTGGAGGTTCCCCAATCTCATGGAAGTCGAAGAAACAAACATCTGTCTCTCTTAGTTCAGCCGAGGCAGAATACCGTTCGATGAGGCAAGTAGTTACAAAATTGATATGGCTTGTGCGATTATTTGCAGATCTCTCCGTTCCTATCTCTCTTCCAGTTCCTCTTCACTTAGATAGTCAAGCCCCGATTCATATCGCCAAAAACCTGGTCTTTCATGAAAGAACCAAGCATGTGGACTTATATTGCCATTTTGTCCGGCAACAATTCTTAGCATGCTTGATTTCACTGTCCTTTGTTCGATCTTCCTTGCAACTTTCATATCTCTTCACAAAATCCCTCCCCGGATCGGTACATCAAAATCTTCTGGACAAGTTGGGTGTTCTCACCGCCCCCTGCAACTTGACGGGGGTATTGACGAAGTCACAAAAGACGCTCAAATTATTAAAGACAAACATGATCAAGCAGGTCTCAAATTGTTGAAGACAAGCAGGAAGGAAACTTATTGTTCTAGAGATGAAAAGAAAAGCAAAGAAAATTCTCTTTGTTAAATCGATACTAGCAAAGGCCATACATTTCAAATTTGTTTTGAAAAATTTAATTTGGGCGAAATTTAATTTGAAGATGAAAATGTGTTCGGACATACATTTTCAAAACATAGTTCCCAATTTTATTTTGGAAAAACATGTACTCCTATATAATTTCCAAGTTTTGGAATTTTGGCCCAAAATCAGCAATTGATGTGGTTTTGGGATTTAGGATTTTGCCAAAATATTAAGTTTTGAAAATAAATTCCAAATTTATTTTGACAAAACTCATGACCACATCCTCACTCCATAAGGGCGTATTCATGCTTATCCATGTATTAAAAACCATGGTATTAATAATGCTATGGTTTGCTATGTATTAGTTCTACATAAGATAATACCAATAAGGTGTAGCTAATACATATATCATTTATACATAGGTTTAAAATTACTATCAAACAAGGATATAATAATACCAAAAACTAATACATATATTGTTTTTCCTAATATATTCTACCAAACGACCCTTCTAGTATAAGAAAATTGAACAATATCAAGTCATATTTACTTATTATCGTGATAAGTAATTTGTATTATTTTAAGCTTATAAAATCTATTTTTCTTGGGGTGATCCCTTTTATACTCTCAAATGTATATAATACAAAGGCTGAATTCATAGAAAGCCCCTTAAATTAGTCCATATTTTTTTATCTAGACACTTTAATTAAGGCAATAACCTATTGGACACGTATACTCTATTTAAAATGTGCCAATTAAACACAAACTGAACATTCTATGAACAAAAAAAAAATGCGTGCATTACAGGCATTTAACGTGGCAAATGCAACCATTAAAAAAATGACATGTCAATACATCCTCACTTTTCTCTCTATCTCCTTATCTGTTCCCTACTCTCTCTAAGATAAAATACATCACTGTTCATCCCCTCTAATTCTTCTGAACTTTTATCTTTTTTGCGTTTTTATCTCAAAAAAAACCATTAGCCATATGGGAGGAGGGCCATCAGGTGTTGGCTAGGACGACAAAGAGCTAAAGAAAACTAGAAGAAGATTTTGGCCGGAAAAAACTATCACGCCGGCGAACACTTTTTTTTGACTAGAAAAATTTAAATTATTAAAATATACAGTTCCCAAGGATTTGATTACTTATCCACCATCGATGTCTTTCTTAACAACTGCTTAAATTATTTTCTAATGAATGACAAGAACGTAATATGCATCTTCTAAGAACTTATCACTCGTTGTTGGGATCAAGTTATGCAGTAAAATATGCTTATGAACCTGGGACTGAGTGTTTGACCGATTCTTGTTGTTTATCATGTTCTTTTTTTTTTTTTTTTAAATTTCTCTGTTTGCATTGATTGTGGCTTGCAGGAAAATGAATCTTGCGGGATAGATTGGATTCCGGCCAAAAACCTTTTCTCATTTATCATCTATTTTACTACTTCGCTTTACTTTAGTTTTTTAGATTTTAGCAGTCACAAAAATTTGATTTGTTTGTGAACGTTAAATTTTCATTCATTCACGCACCTAACTTTGGGTGTGAAACACGTGTTATGACATGTAAGCAATGAGTGTCTAATAGGTACACTTCCATCTGAGTTTAGGTATTCAATTGGTCACTGTCTCAGTTGAAGTGCTTAGATGAAAAATATGGACTAGTTTAGGGGGCTGTTTATGTATTCTGCCTAATACAAAATTATTTTTAGACGGGGGTCAATTGATAACCTCTTATCAGAATGAAAAGAGTAATAAGGCCTCATTTGTTTGCACTTAATGGAGGTCTGAATCTTAATCATTCAGATCTCAGATATTAAGTGCGTTTGTTTTAAAGTCTGAATCTTAATTATTCAGATCTTAATCATTAAGTATTTTTTTTTACTTCATAATCACTTAATAGGTCTGAATAGACCTGTATGATTAAGATCCATAAAGAGACTTAATTTCATTAAGATGCGATCATCCATATTAATTATTAATTATCGCCACCGCCAACCATTATCAACTACCATCATACCACTACCACTACCACCATACTCAACCACCACCACCACCGCCACCATAATCGACTACCACCACCCTCCATCCCCACCACCATCATTCTCAATCACAAACAATACTCATCCACCTCAACTACCACAACTAACCACCCAATACCCTGAACCACCACCATCAACCAAACCTACCACCAATCACTACCTTTAGTCAGACATTCACAAACACCCCCTTAGCGATCACCACTAACAACTACTATATTTTAAAGAATATAAGATTAATTAATATTTTATTTGAATTTTATGTTTATTAATTTTTTAATAGATTAATTTTATACATTCAGATGTTAAAATCAAACCGTCTTAGTTATTTAATATTCAAATTTTAATACATATTTTAATTGTTACTACAGATATGTATTCAAATTCAGATATTTTAATTTAAAAAAAAAACAAAAAACAAACGGCAAGCAGTGTTTGTTCTGTCACTTCTCATAAAGCTCAAACAGTGTTAGAAAGTATAGAACTTCTCAGCTCCACGTGCTAACACAGAACTTTCCAAAGAGAGCCACGCGTGATCATTAGACCTAGTAGAAAACAGACAATAGTGAATTTACTGAAAATGACTCAGTAGTGGCGTCATTTACAGAAACCTAAGAAAATCCCGATGTAGTCAGTGCCTAAAATAGGGTCAAAATCGACTTTACACTATGGGTGTTAAACGGGTCGGGTCAACCCGGTTCCGGACCGGCCCAGCCCGGTTAAAACCGGAACCGGCCCAGACCGGTTAAAGGGGGCTGGGTTGGGCTGGGTTAGGGGGGACAGGCCGGTTGGTCCGTTTACCATTAAAATATCGGTTACCCGGACCGGTCCAACCCGTTAGGTGAACAATACCCGTAAACCGGTTAACCGGCCCGGTTTAACGGTAAAAAAAAAAAAATTTAATTTTTTTTTAATTTGGGCCAGATCTGGCCGTTGTCCAACGGGTGAATTGCACAAATAGCCAAATTTTGTTTTTTTTTTAAAAAAAAGATTAACCCCCTCTTTAAAAATCTATAAATACCTCCCCTCTTCCTCATTTTTTCACTCATCTCTCAATTCTCATATTCTCTCATTCTTCAATCTTTATTCTTCACCTATTAAAGTGCAATCAACTATTTGGCTATTTTTTTTGGAATTTAATTTATCTTAGTACTTATTTTTTGAAGTTTGAACAATTGAACTTCAAAATTGGAAGAATTGACATTTCTTCGTGGTAACATTTGAGTTGCGGAATCATCAAGTGCTCAATTTATTGCCGAATTCGGTGCACTCCCTCCAACTCTTTCTCTTATTTACTATTTTACTTGCATATTTATTTGTTTTGTTGCTAGTAGTTAAATTTTTACAATATGTTTAATGCTGCAAAAAGAGTTTGTAACAAGGTTACTAATAGGAGAAATAAAAAAAGAGGTAGTACTTCAGGTTCAACATATGGTAGTAATTTAAATACCTCTCCAAATATTCCTGAAATATTACCTGATAATAATATAGACTATGAACAATTGCAGGAAGATTTTGGTATAGATGATAATGAATTATAAATGGAAGATGAGATACCACTTACGCCTAGTAGTGTTGGAGCTGCTAGCAGGGGTGGTGGTTGTGTTGCTAGTAGTAGACCACCTGTGGCCCCGACTAGTAATCGTAGAAAAAGAAGTAAGGTTTGGAAATTCTTTGAGGAAATAGAAGGTACTGATAGAGTTAAATGTAAACTTTGTAATGATACTTTTAAACATAAGACTGGGGGTCAATTAGGGGGGACTGAGACACTTAGTAGACATATGAGAAGTGAGCATCCTATAGAATGAGGATCTGATGGAGATGGAAATCAATCAACTCTAAACCCTACTACTGGTGGTCTTGTGAAATATGATAAAATGAAGGATCGTGAGAAGTTAGCAAAAATGATTGATTTGGTTTGTCTACCTTTTTCTTTTGCTTCTTCATCATATCTTATTATGTATATTCAAAGGATTTACAATTCTTTATTTAAAGGTATCCCTAGAAGTACTTGTAGAGCTGATATCTTTAGACTTCATGGACAATATCAAACATACATATGTTATTTGTATAGCCACCTTACTTGTAGAGTTTCTCTAACTTCTGATATTGGTCATGCTGTTAATGGAAATGATTATTTGACAATTACATGTCATTGGATAGATGATAATACTTGTATGCAAAAACGTATTATCGCTTTTAGATATGATGAAGATCAGAGTCATACTGCTACGTTTATAAGTAGTACTCTTTGTGAAGTTGTTGAATTTTATAATCTCAAGCAAAAAGTATTGTGTATGTCTTTTGATAATGCTTCTAACAATAATGTCGCAATTTCAATATTAAAANGGTCCAAAAAAAGCGACCCGGCCCGGCCCACCCAATTAACACCTATACTTTACACTGCTGCCATCTCCGGGTCAATATCGGAGTTGAAACCGGGTTCGGACCTTCGTGACTGATCAGTTCATGTGCCTTTGAACTCTCCTAATTTCCCTCTCAATTCCAAGCCACAGTTTACACATCAAAAAAGACAAAAAAGAAAAAAAAAAGAGAAATGTCGCAGCGAGGCGATGATTATACCTCAATAGTTGAAGCCATGACTTTGATCAATCAGAAAGTGAATCTCATGGGCGTCGTCCTCGAAACTAGCTTTCCAAGGAAGACCAAGGGCACTGGTTAAAGCTCCTTTGATTTTCAACAATTTCAAGATTCTTTTTTTTGATGTTGGCAGTTACTTGTAAAAATTTGAGCTTTTTTCTTTTTAACAGATTACTTCTGTTTGGTTAAAATCATTGATCAGTCATACCAAAGTCGTGGGCTTTCTGTTAATATTTTCACTGAGACGATAGAGAAACTGCCTCTGGTATTCAATGCTGGTGATATTATTCTGCTTTTTAATGTTAGGGTAAAACTTCCTTTAGTTTTAACTTTGAACTTTAATTTACTATGTTACTAAAAATCTTGACTTATTTATGGTTATTGCACTTTGTGCAGATGAAAGTTCATAATTCCGTGGTTCATGCTGTGTTCAATAAAAATTTCTCTTTGTTTGCTTTGTTTGATGGAAAATATAGTACAACCTTCCTTCCCTATCAATGTTATTTGACTTATCTTCATAGGGAGCGAGATGAGAAACTTATACTCGGTTTAAGGAAGTGGTTGGTTGATCACTCTATTGGAACAGATACTCTCCTTTTCTGGTCTAAATGATCCATGAAAAGTTATGTACTTTTACATAGTGATTGCACGGTTGATATATTTAGGATGCAACTTCGGAACCTGAAGTCTTTCTAAAATGTATCTTAGTCGGTGTGGAATCATCTGTTTCCATATAAGGATCAAAGTAACATTCTTACCCTTCTCGTGCAGGGGGTCGGGTGAGAGAGTGATAGATTTCATTTTATAACCACTTTAATTCAAAGATCTGACTCTTGATATGCTCTAATTACCTTAATAGATTTTCAATCTTTGAAAGATATCAGGGAAGGAGACGGCTTCAATTTGGTTTGCAAGGTAATACTAGTACTTGTACTCTTTACTAGCATGGACTTTATTTAATTTATTTTGAAGATCAATCAAGAAAACATGTTGCTGGTTGTTTGTTGTTCTCGAGTCTTGACTGTGGATGATTTCACTCAATATTTTTTCATTGCAAATTTTGATGGCATGTGCAAGATTCTTCGTGTAGTTAGAGAAGATGAGTGGATCCTTCTTGTGTGGGATGGAACTGACACTCCACCAGTTGCTATTAATGCAAGGTGACTGTTATATTTGTGCTTTTGATTGACCATCACGTTAGTTTTCTTTTAGAGGATAGTATTAATTATTTCCTTTTCAAGTGGAGGTACTTTGTTGCACAAGAAGTACTGCTATAGTTGTGAAGTAGATTAGTTTAAACGCTCCCTAACAAATTTTTCCTGCAATTCATATTTGAAGTAAGTGGACCTCATGAACTAATTGCATATCAGATTGAGCCATCCAACACTTGCTCAGCTGCTTCTCTTTAAGAAAATATTTGCATTTGATTATGAAAGCTTTGTAAGCATTTACATAGTTTTACGTGTAACTATGAATTACAGGTTAGAGGATGAACTGGAAACCCCACTTCCTTTAGAGTCTGTGGCAGTTCGTCTGCCGAGAGACATATTCTGCAAATTGCCACCTTTTGGGACTGTGCTGAGGCTAACTCTGAATTGTGGCAATGAGAAACTTGGAATGAACGTGCTCAGGACCAATAGATGGGTGAAATTTGATAACCTAAGATGTCAACTTCTTGACTCACTGTGGCATGCTGCCCACTTGCCGACTACTAGGTTTTGCTATTTGCGCGATGAAGATCACATTGTTTCACAGCGCATGAGGTTTTCTTCTCTGATATTTACATATTTTCTTGTAATTATGTGCTAAACATAGTGTGTATTTTGGGGGGTGGG